GAATGACTTCCCATCTGTTAGAGCTCCACATCTTGCCTTATTTTCCATAGAACTTTCCATTCCTTGAAACTCATGTTTTGACTAAGACCCTCCATCCTTGCAAACTTCACTAAAGCTAACTGCTTGGTGAGAAAAAAGAAGAGAAAGAATCAGTGTATTAGTTTTTCATTATTGTAGTGAACATCCAGAGGCAGGCTGACTTTATAAAGAAAAAAGGTTATTTCAGCTTAGCGTTCTGAAGGTGCAAGATCAGGTGCAATGTCTGGTGATGGCCTTCTTGATGGCAGAGTCCCAAGGTGGTGCAGACCACCCCATGGCAAGAGAAAGAGAGCATTCAGGTCTATGTCTGCAGTCTCTCCCTTTTTATACATCCACCAGGATTCAATCATGGGTGTCCCACCCTGATGATCTATTCTAATCTAACCATTTCCCAAAAACCCCACCTTTAAATATCATAGGCAGGTTACATTCCTACCCTCTGAATACCACTAACTTATGACTGAGATTGAAACTCCTACTGGTTTCAAGGGAGAAGCCCATACTCAAATCATAGTAGATGGTACACCTATGGAATTCTATACAGCAGACCTTATTTTTCTATCGTATTCAAGATAACCACCACATTTTAGGAAGCAGCTTTCCCCAAAAGAAATACAAAGAGGTATTATGCCCAGAACAGCCTCTTGACCTCCTCAAGTACTAGGTGGCCCCTAGCACTCTAGTATACTGCAGCTGCTGGAGAAGAAATATCTGGGGTTTCCTAAGGTGTCCCCGAGATGCATATTACCAAGTAAATACTATGATAAAGTAGTGTCGTGGTCAATTAGCATAACCTTTCCTTCTATCCCTAATCATATAACATACAAATCTAGACTTTTTTTTATTAAGGATGAGAACCAAAGCAACATTTAAAATATTGTACTAGTGGAAGATCATTTTGAATTCCAAATAACCAACTCACAACCAACCAAGAGGCATTTTCCAATTGTTCATAGATAGTCAACATTGCTTCAAAAGTATAGCTGTCTATGTATATTTTTGAAAAATTACATAAATATATGTGAAAGCAACAGCCCCTATATAGACATACACAAAATTGTTAATTTGATTTTGGTTTTGCTTATTAAAACCAGTTATCTTGTAGACCATATTCTCAGTTCTCCCACTGGGACACCAAAGCCAATCAAGAGTAAAGATCTCTAAGTAATGAAAAAAATTCTGTTTTAGCTTTCAATCTGAAAGATGGTTTCTCCCACACTAAAAGCCATAGGTGATAGTTATTATCCCTGTTTTACAAACGAAATCTCTTCTTGGCCTTTTGGCTAAGATCAAGTGTACAAATGAGAAAACTGAGAATAAAATAAAAATATTTGAACTGGAAGCAAAATGAACACTAACTTAATGTTTCATATAGTATTTGTACTTTACTATAGTGCAAAGTATACCAAGAACCAATTCAATCAAAATTAAGATGCTTTAGAAACTCAAACTATGATAATTCAAAAAGTTACAATAGGAGAATTGTTAATAACTTTAGAATCTGAAGACTTTCTAAGAATGACACAAACCTGAAATTCATAAAGGGAAGAAAACTAACAAATGTGACCATATAAAATATATTGTTAAATTACTACATGACAACAAGAGAAAAAATTAGAGGTCAAAAAGAAAAAGCCCACTGTCCAAAAAAGTGCTGCTCATGTTAACAACAAAGAGATAATTTTTTAAATCCATAATTAAAATGGAAGTTTCCACCAATCAACAAAGAAAAAAAGCAACACAATTTGAAGTGGGCAAATAATATGAACAAATAATTCACAGTAAATTAAATGCAAAAGATTTTCAGCATATAAAAGAGGTCCAGTGCATTTTATAATAAGAGAAGTAGAAATTTAAGCTGCAGTTGCAGACCAGTTTATACGTACAAATTGGCAAATATCAAAGCACAGTTATCCTATCATATTGCCAACAGATTGGAGAAACCAGTACTCATACTTTTGTACTGGGAGTGTAATTTGTCAGTATCTGTGAATGGTATAAGTGCGCAGAATTCTACTCCTATGTGAGATATGATGAACATGTGGAGATATGTATGGCAGCCTTTTCTGTACTAAGAAGAGACAGGAAATACATGTCTGTCACAAGATGACTTCTTAAATAAATGTGAGTTTCATGTAGTACTTTGCATATATTACCAGATGAGATGGGTTTAAAATCATATACAGTCCTCAAAAATATATGGTTAATTGAATAAAGCAAAGTATAGAACAATGCATAAAGTTTTTATTTGTGAGAGAGAAAATATAGGCACACTTTTAAGTTTGTAAAGACATAGCTTTGTAAGACTACACAAGAAACCAGCAAATGTAATCACATCCCAGGTATCAGGAGAAAACCAAAGGAGGAATCTTGTCTTTTTTAACAACAAATTTGTACCTTTGTTTGTAAACTTTGTATCATGTATGTGAATTAACTAATTTCAAAAATTGGATAAGATCCGTTCAGTTTTTGTTGAGCAGAGATACCTGTCACATAGGATCCACAATTTATCACTATTATCCTGGGCACTGGAATAAAGAGACTAGTGAAGTAACATCTTCAGTAAGTTTTCTCTAACAAGTCTTTTTCCTACTTGACTAGGATGATGCATAAACCCTGGGCTGTTCTTACAGACCAGACTGCTGTTGACAAAATGAGACACTGTCCACAGGTCTCTTACAGTCCAGGTCTACATCTTGTGAAGTTAGCCTGTAACTGTGAGGTTCTTTGAAAATGCCCATGTATTCTTTGCTATTTTTTTTTCAAGTGGCAGAGTTTAAAATTGTTTCACCTTCCATGTGGACTGGACTTAATGACTTGCTTCCACTGAATAGAATAGGACAGATGGCACAGGATGTCTCTTCTAAGACTAGGTCATGAAAAACATTGTAGCATCTGCCTTAGTCTTTGTTGGGTCTTCCACACCAGGTGGGGGTGGGGGGAGGCATCTGTGTCATGAGGGGAGTTCTATATGGAGAACTGAGTCCTCCAGCCAATAACTGGGCCTTCAAATAATAGCAACCCCAGCCAACAGCTCAATAGCTTGGTTACAGTCCCATTTTAGACCCTGAACAACAACCAGCTAGTTATACCATTCTTGGATTTCTTATTGTCAGAAATTGTGTGAGATAACAAATGTCTGTTGCTTTAAGCTGTGAATATATATATTTTCTACCCTACCCCTACCCCCTACCTGCATCCCCGGAGCAGATGTCTCTTTAAATTCACCATGCAGACACAGCCTGTTCTTTGGTCTGGTCTAGCTCTAGAGACAATAAGCTCAGGTAGCCTCTACAGTAATACGTGAAAGAAGTCAAGAAAGGTGGTAGAGGGGAATGCATTGTTGCACAGCTGATTAAGCAGCTACTTGGAAGGCCCTCATCCTATATCAGAGTACCTAGGATTGACTCTTGTTCCACTTCAAATCCAGCTTCCTGCTAACGCACTTGGGAGGCAACAGATGATGGCTGAAGCATTTGGGTCTTTGCCAACCAGATGGGAGACCACAGGTTGATTCCCTTTCTCTTGGCTCAGCCCTAGATGTTGCAGATATTTTGGAAGTAAAACAGCAAGTAAAAGATTTCTCTCTCTCTCTCTCTCTCTCTCTCTCTCTCCCTCCCTCCCTCCCTCTCTCTCTCTCTCTCTCTCTCTCTGTGTGTGTCACTCTGCCTTTCAAATACATACATAAATAAATAGAACTTAGGAAAAAAAGGTAGGAAAGTCACTGTAAGTTCTGGCAGAAGGAGAACGCATGAAAAGATGTCAGAGAATTCCTTGCACAGTTTTCAAATCACAGCTTAGTAACTTCTCTGAGAACCTTCTGATTTGAATGTATCTCCTTAATTTCCTTCAAGATACTTGCCATCATTTACTCCCTAAATTTCACTCCATCTTCCTTCCAGTTTCGGTGGTACACACTCTTTCACATAAGAACTGGAAATGTGCAAAGATTCAGTGCTTATATAACTTGGCAAGGTCAATGAAGAAATGAGCTGCTAGCATGAATAGTCATTTTTCAAACTGCATCCTTTCAGAAACATGTAAACTTTATCTCAGTAAATTTCACCATACCCATTCTAGGGCCCACAATCAGTAAAATATGAAGCATTCAACATTCTCTTATTTGGCTTTCATATGCTCACTCTAATTCTTGCTTGTTCTCGCTCTCTTTCCCACCCCACCCCCAGTCCACTCATTATTCCCTTGTCTACCTCATAATTTGGTAGCATTATTTCTGAAAACTTATTTGTCATCAATGAGACTGTACTTTTGAAATATTATAGAGATGCTTTGGCAAAAGAGGAGATCAATAGAAAAGAACAGAGGGCCTAGAAACAGATCCACATAAATAAAGTCAACTGGTCTTTGACAAAGAATCAAAGACCATACCATAGAGAAAAATGTACTTCAATAAATAATGCTAGAACAACTAGATAACCACAGCAAAAAAAAAAAAAAAATCTAAACACAAACCTTAAACCCTTCACAAAAATCAACTGAAAATAGATCATGGGCTTAAATGAAAAAATGCAAAATTATAAAATTCCTAGAAGATAACAAAAAAGAAAACCTAGGTGACCTTGGGTATGCTAATGACTATTTATATATAAAACCAAAAGCATGATTCATGGTAGAAATAATTGATTAACTGAGCTTCAAAAATTTCAAAACTGCTGCTGTGTTAAAGACATTATCATGAGAATGAAAAGACAAGCCACAGACTTCGAGAAAATATTTGCAGAAAGATGCATCTCATAAAAGACTATTATCCAAAATATGTAAAGAACTCTAAACTCAACAAGAAAATAAACAAGTCAATTTAAAAATTCACAAAAGACCTTAACAGAAAGAAAATACACAGATAACAAGCATGCATATGAATATACATTCTTTAGAGAAGCACATCATCATGTCTCATTAGGGAACTGCAAATTAAAAAACAACAAAATATCTCTACTCACCTATTAGAATGGCCAAAATCCAAAACACTGACAACAACAAATGCTGGCAAGGTTGGTGAATATTAGGTACTTTTCATTCATTCACTAGTAAGAATGAAAATAGTTACAGTCATTTTGGACACAGTTTGACAGTTTCTTACAAAACTAAACATGTTCTTTTTACCATATTGCCCAGCAATTTTATTCCTTGGTATTTATCCAAATGAACTGAAAATGTAAAAACTATACAAAACCTGAACACAGATTTTTATAGAAGATGTTTAGAAGCAACCATCAATAGGTTAAACAAACTGGATAAGTGGACAAATAGTTAAGTAAACTGTGGTACATTCAAGCAATATACTATCATTTTACCAAAAATAAATGAGTTATCAAACCATGAAAAATACAAATGCATATTACTAAGTGAAAGAGGCAATCTGCATAGACTGTATACTGTACAATTCCAATGGTGGACATTCTGGAAAAGACAACGTACAGAGGATTTTTAGGGCACTGAAACTACTCTGTATGACATCAAAATCGTAGACACAAGTCATTGCACATTTGTCAAAATCCATAGAATGAACACCACCAACAGTGAACCCTAATGTAAGTTCTGGGCTTGGGGTGGTAACGATGTGTTAAGTAGGTTCATCCACTGTAGTAAATCTACCACTCCGGTGAGAGATGCCAATATGAGTGAGCCTGTGCATGTGTGGAAACAGGTTCTGCAGAAACTCTGCACTTTCTGCTCAATTTTGCTGTAAACCTAAAACTGCTATTTAAAAGGTTATTAATTTAAAAGACAATTATGGAAGCCTTTCAGAAGATCAAAATTGAAATGAATTTACTTTTCACCATTAAGGGTCATTCATTTTTTTTCTAATTTTTATTTATTTGAGGGAGAGGGAGAAGGAGAAAGATGGGCACTCATCACTACTACCCGCTGGGTCTGCATTAGCAGAAAGTTGGAGCCAGAGCTTGGTATCAAACCCTGGTATTCTGGCCGGCGCCGCGGCTCACTAGGCTAATCCTCCACCTTGCGGTGCTGGCACACCGGGTTCTAGTCCTGGTTGGGGTGCTGGATTCTGTCCAGGTTGCCCCTCTTCCAGGCCAGCTCTCTGCTGTGGCCAGGGAGTGCAGTGGAGGATGGCCCAGGTACTTGGGCCCTGCACCCCATGGGAGACCAGGATAAGTACCTGGCTCCTGCCATAGGATCAGCGCGATGCGCCGGCTGCAGCGCACCGGCAGCGGCAGCCATTGGAGGGTGAACCAATGGCAAAGGAAGACCTTTCTCTCTATCTCTCTCACTGTCCAATATTCGGGACATGCTCAAGCTGACTTACCTCAAACGGTAGAGTTAGAAAGATACCAGGGGATTCCAATTCAATCCCATCAAGGTGGCATGTACCAATGCCATCTCACTAGTCCCAGTGATCAATTTCTGTTCACAATTGATCGTAATGATAGGACTAAGAACCAAAGGGATCACATAAACAAGAATAGTGTCTGCAAATACTAGCTGATAGAATAAAAAAGGGAAAGAACGATCCAACATGGGAAGTGAGATGCACAGCAGACCCATAGAATGGCAGATGTCCTAAACAGCACTCTGGCCTCAGAACAGCACTCTGGCCTCAGAATCAGCCCTTAAGGCATGCGGATCCGGCTGAAATGCCCATGAGAGTATTTCAGGCATGGATAGCCAAGACACTCTGGGGGGGAGAAAGAAAAAAAACCTAAATGAAAGATCTCCGCGAGTGAGATCCCAGTGGAAAGAACGGGTCATCAAAGAAGGAGGTACCTTTCTCTGAAGGGAGGAGAGAACTTCCACTTTGACCATGGCCTTGTCTAAATATGATCAGAGTCGGTGAACCCAGGGGGCTTCCATAGCTTTGGCAGCTCATGACAAGAGCCTAGGGTGATTACTGATGCCATAAACAAGAGTGTCAATTTGTTAAGTCAACAACAAGAGTCACTGTGCACTTACTCCTCATGTAGGATCTTTGTCCTTAGTGTGCTGTACATTGAGATTTAATGCTATAACTAGTACTCAAACAGTATTTTTCACTTAATGTATGCTAAACTGATCTTCTGTATATAAAGAGAAACGAAAATGAATCTTGATGTGAATAGAAGGGGAGAGGGAGTGGGAAAGGGGAGGGTTGCGGGTGGGAGGGACGTTATGGGGGGGAAGCCATTGTAATCCAAAAGCTGTACTTTGGAAATTTATATTCATTAAATTAAAGTTAAAAATTTTTTTAAAAAAAACCCTGGTATTCTGATAAGTGATACAGTCATCTTAACTGCTAGGCTAAACACCTGTCCATTAAGGACTATCCTTACATATACATGAAGGTATGAAATTTTGAAATCATTCCCTGTAACATATAGGGTTCTATGCTATTTCTTCAGTTTTCTACTCGTAGAAAAACATTTTCCAGTCATTATTTCTCTGAGACTGACATACCATAATTTGTCCTTTGGCCCACCCACTACATCATCATAGGGGGAGAAGGAAACCAGAAACGAAATTCTGACCATCTAGGGAAGTTTGAAATCACACCTGCCAACAGAACTTACATCCAGAGTTCAAGAGGTAAAGCTGTAACCAAGATGCCACTCTCTTTCATCCTTCTTGCATATTGGGCTCTCAGGATCTGGGTCTACCACACTATTTCCCTACTAAGACCATCAACCTGCCTTGAACTTTGGCCTGAATGGTTAGGAGCTTTGGTTCCATAAACCATGAAGGCCAAGTCTACCTTCTGCCAAGTAGAAAAGACCCTCAATATTTCCTCTCTCAGGAGGCTGGTTCTAATGTGTGTGCTTACTATTCTGTTTGCACATCCTGACTTGGGGTGCAACATAGCCAAGGCCCAGGCTCTGCAGTCATCCAGGCTTCACAGCTCTTGGACTTCAAACCTGGGTTTCTCTACACCCACCAAAACTCCCTATCTCCCACAGCTCTGTGAGCAAGTTTTTAGCACGCTTGTACCCGATGATGTCAATATTCTCCGAAATCCAAACTGATCCCAGTGTTCCTTCCAATGCAGAGGCTGGAAACACAAACATAGACCATTTTCACAGCAGGAAAATACACACCCACCCTCTAGATGTTTGGTTGAAGAAAGGAATTTTTGAAACAGGGAAGTAGAAAGTGTGGGATAAAAATGATTATGAATGCTTCATTCCCTTTGCTGCTAACAGAATTGTTGAACAATGAAATAAAAACACAGAATAATATGACTCACCACCACCCCATCTTCATACCCCCCAAAAAATATTAGGCATAAGCAAAAGCATGCCCACATGTGAGTTGATGGTTTTTAACATTTCTCATAATATGCATGCTTCCAAATATTGTCAGGAGAATAAAAGTTGTATGCATATTTCACATCAAAGGCTTCTGGGGTATAACTTCCTATCAGAAGATACTGGTATACACCAACAGAATATGCTTCCATAGCTCATCATTAACATAAGGCAAAAACAAAACAAAACAAAACAAAACACCTACACTCCTGCCTATATCCTAATGTCTTCTAGAGCTTCAGACTTACCTGTCTTGCTGAACGATTTATAAGTCTCTACAGGTGCCATCCTCTTCCCTGCCTGCAGGCCATGGCACCCTCTGGACCTTCCAGAAAACCTGTCTTCACCCCCATCACTACCCCTGCCACCCCCACCACGGTAGGCTGGGGAGTTCTCACTCATTCAGCTCATGAACCTCTTCTTGGTTAACACTTTTCTGACCCTACATTCTTTGACCAAAAGTCATTTCCTCCTTCCTATCTTCAGTGTGTCTGGCATGCACCTTTGGAGACGTATGTGTCTCCATTTTAAGCAATGCAACAATTTCTAAAATTTTGCTTTTACATTTCATGTAAAAGGCAAAGAGAGATCTTCCATCTCCTGGTTCACTCCCCAAATGCCACAACAACCAGGGCTGGGTCTGGCCAAAGCAAGGAGCCAGGAGCTCCATCTGGGTTTCCCTTGTGCATGGCAGAGACCCAAGCACCAAACAGTTCCTTTCTCTCAGGGTACACATTAGCAGGAAGTGAGAATTGGAATTGGAGCCTAGACTTAAACCAGGCGCTCTGAGATGGTATGCAGGCATCCCAAGTGTTGTTGTAAATGCTGTGCTAAATACATGCCCTGATACAACAGCTTCTTAAGGTCACATCTTACTTTTGTTTATTGCTTTACTTACTGACATAGTGGTTGGCCACATAAAAAGTATTCAGCAGATATTTAGTGAAGAGATGCATGGATGGATGAATGAACAGATGGTAGGAAACCAGAATTTATCAGGGTTTTCCAAAGTCCTAGATACTATGCTACATTCTATGTAAATAGCTTTTACATATGAGAACATTCTCAGCAAGAAGGTAAGGAAACTGAGAATCAGAAATATAGGAACATGCTGAAGTCCTTAATTAGTAAAGTGGCAGAAGTAGAATAATCTGGACCTGAGTCTGTTTGACTAGAAAGTCCATGGTTTTTCCATAGAATTATATTTTGTATTATTCTCTTGAATATAGCCACAACAGAAGTGATTTTTTAAAAGATTTATTTATTTATTTGAAAGTCAGAGTTACACAGAGAGAAAAGGAGAGGCAGAGAGAGAGAGAGAGTTCTTCCATCTGCTGGTTCACTCCCCAATTGGCCGCAACGGCTGAAGCTGCGCCAATCCGAAGCCAGGAGCCAGGAACTTCTTCCAGGTCTACCACGTGGGTACAGGGGCCCAAGGACTTGGGCCATCTTCTACTGTTTTCCCAGGCCATAGCAGAGATCCAGATAGGAAGTGGAGTAGCTGGTACTTGAACCGGCACCCATTTGGGTTGCCAGCACTGCAGGTGGCAGATCAACCCACTACGCCACAGCACCGACCCCAGAAGTGATATTTTTTAACATGACATTTTTAAACAGAAATATCCTGAGAACAATTTAGAGAGCTATCATAACTTAAAGGAAATGGCTAGTATTTACATTCCTTTGATTTGCATCTATATGCACCAACAACCTAGTAAACTACAACGTGGCCTCCTGAAGGATGCACCTGTCAGGATAGCACACCTGAAAATGAATGTGGGACTATA